ATCAAATCTGTTTTGTAAGATAGTAACTCACTGAAGACAATAATGGATATGTCGTTCAATTTCGTGGATTGGTTAAAATTAAACATTAACATCGTCAGATACCGGCTTAGTAGTGTAGAGGTTAATCAGTCATTCGTGAGATTGACAGGTCTTGGGTTCGAAGCCTGCTGGCGGGGTCGTGGATGTGCCCTAGTGAGAAGTCCAATACTAGAGAAAACGGCCGTTCAATGCTTTCAGGTTTTCAATGGTGTTCTACCTTTCATCATCTTATAAATTGAACTATTAAATGACTATGAATAATTAATATATATAATCATATGCTCTTCTATTGCATAATACGGTCAAATATTAATAACAATAATTATTAAAAAAAAATTTTTAATGTAAAAGGTCAACTCAACCTAAGTTCAATGAATATTCAACGATATTTTTACATAACCAAAAATAAAGATTTTTAATGTTTGAATTCATGAGTCGATTAAAGCTAAACCACCATGGAAAACCTGGAAGCACTGGACGGCCCTTTCGTCCTAGTATGGGACTCCTCAGCAGTGCGCATCCTCGACCCTACTGACGTGATTCAAACCCAGGATTTTCGGTCTCGTGCACGAATGCTTAACCTCTAGACCACTGAGCTGGCATTTAACAGTGTCAACGTCTAACTTCAACCAATCTGATTTGATTTGTAAGTCTGATAATTCGACAAATGATTTTAAAAAAGTAGAATTTAAACTTTAACTGTTACACCTATATTTCTTATTGAATATCTTTTTCAGAAATGAGAATTATTTTATTTTAGATACATTTACATCAGGAAGTGATATCATATATTCAGTTAATAGATGTTCTAGTTGTTGGTGATTCATTCAGAAATTAAATGACAAACTGAAAATTTAATGGTAATGTTCTATAACTAATTTTAATAATCGATTCCACGTACATCAACTTGAGTAACAAAAAACGACTTAATCGAGCAACAAAGTTCATTCTGAAATCAATAAATTGAATATTATGTGACCTAAAACTTGAATTTCATGACATTCTTGCGTAGAATAAACAAACAAACAACTGTAAAAGCTGTTATGTACAATTTCAAATTACTTTCATGGTGAAAACAAGAAAAAAGACTGACCAGCGTCAAGATTGTAAAAAGTCTTGATGTTTTATATGCAAATATGAATAGTGGCTAGAAGTGGAGTTCAAGGAGCGCGTTTCGTCCCATCTGGGGCTCATCAGTTGGGTGTACCTGCATCTCGAAGCTGACGTTCAATCTGGGGCTCGAACCCAGCACCGTTCACTTTAAACGGCATCGCGTCATCTACGTAGCTACTGATTCCTGGAAGCCACCTGCCCGATGTTTTATTGATGAGAAAAAATATATGATATATATATCACGTCACCTATTAGATGTCTATTGGAATTGAACTGTGGTTATAACACAGACAAACAAAATTACATAGTATCTTGGTGAAAAATGAAAACCATACATTAATTCCGTTTCTGTTTCCGTCAAATCTACCTTCATAACTTTCTTCTGATAAGGTTTGCCATACTCGATTATTGTTACATACTACTTATGTCTATCGACATGAGTAGTATACACTACATAGTTATTACAACTTCATATCTATCTCTTTTATGAAGAGAGATCAATACGATCTAGTTTTTTACACTGAAACATAAGAATTACCTTTCGATTCTGAAAAAAAGCATTTCGTCCAAAGTCATATTAAGTGAAGTAGATAAAAGTAGACATTTTTAAAATTCTTTACCTAAACGGAATGAACTGTTTTTGATACATTATTGTGGATACATTACTAAAAATAAAAATGAATGACGCAATACTAGCACGATATGTTTTCCGTTGACAGTAGAAAATGTGTAGTTGTCTAAACAGAGTAAATTAATGTAATTAGGATTTTTATTAACTGGTTGTTGATATTCAGAACCGAATTTTTATCAGTCTTTATTGATGTGTGCATTTAGTACAGCTTGAATTGATACAGCCATTTTTTTCACTTATTTGCACAGAATGGATAGGTAATGGATCAGTAACTAACTGGATGTTGCGTTAGAGTTTGAATTGAAAGGTAACATGTTCGAAACTCTGTGTGGATATTGAAACTGAGAACCAAGTACATTCATCTGTTTAGTTCCAAACGGGATGAAATAAACGTTACGGATCCCACCAACAGCCCTTTTAAAGTAAATTATTGTTCTTTAAGAATATAGTATAGTAGATATTTTCATTGACCACGTTGCAAAGCTTACAGCTTCTAGGAATTTTCGATTGTGTCCCAAGTTAATTGTAGATTTTGTTAATACTTGCCATATCTTATCATCACTGCACAGTATTCAGTAAATGGACACTGCCCAGTTTATAATTCTTCTAAGCACAACTACTTTTTATTTCTCCGATATATTAGTTGTTTTTAATATAATTTCTGCAATCTGCATTTTAAATAGTGTCAATTAAAACAAATTTTCCAAAAAAGAAGGTTGGTTTTAGCTAAAAATCACTGATAGTTATATCATTAGTAGGTCAGTTTTATGTTGTGATAACTGCTCTGACTGTTATGCAAGTGTAATAAACGGAGTTTTCATATACCTTTATCTAAACTAAACTTTAGTAGTTACTTAAATCATTTTCAGTAGTTAAAACAATATGAATAAGTAACGTTTCAAGTTATAAGTTGCTTTTTTAACCATCTGATTCATAATTTAAAATCTGGAGTAGCTTCATCATGGTTAACGTAGTATATACAAACCGTTAGAAGATGTTGTTGACTGAAAGTTTACTTGTAGAATCATGTACATATCTTTCTGGTATTCAAGATAACACATTAATAATGGAAATAACATATTTGTAAGGCTCCAAATATTGGAAAATTAAATTTCCGAGATTTCGTCAGGTAGTGTAAGCCGATTCTTTAGAAAACAAATGTAAAAGTTTCATATTTGTTATATGGAAGTGTAAGGTTACCAGTATTTGTATGTCTCAATGAAATCATGGAAATATGTTATTTAAACCACGATTGAAATCCTGAAAGCACTGGGTGGCCATTTGGTTCTACTAGTTGTATCTTCAGGAGTGCGACCACACAGCGCTTCACTCAGGAGTCGAACTCGGTACTTGATGGCTCGTGTGAGAACACCTAACCTTTATACCATCGAGCAAGCATTCAGAGGTGTTGACGTATAACCAAAATCAATCCACGATGCTGGGCGATCATCTTTCATTATGTTTGGTATGTAAATGATTCGGAAAATAACGGCATTGTATGCCGGTTCAGTGATCAAAAGACTGAGAGTTTGCGTGCATAATCAATTTTAGAATAATATGAATTCACTTTATTTCGTTAGGTTCTCATCAGCTGCTTACAACCTAAAATATTTGGAAATCAACGTTGTTACAGATATTGACATACTTACACATAAGAGGGTGATTAAAGATGAATACATGTATTATTATGTAGCGAAGATTTGAATAGAGTTAATACGTTTAAAAAAATTTTGTTTTGGATAAATAAAATGTGGGAGGGAAAGTTCCAGAACATTGACATAATGATTAGAAGTCATGGAGTTAACAAATATTAGATGATTGTGTAATGAACAGACTGAAAATAGATTGATTGGAATGAAGAAAAATATGCATTGAAATCAGTCAGTTATGAATTGAATAAAAATAGCAATGATGTAGTCAAACTTCAGATAGAGTTGAAATAACTAGTGACCTAATAAATAAAAAGGGGGTTTAATGTTACCAGGACAAAGAAAGATTTATTACTGTCTCTTTTTGGATCTGGTTTTAGATGTTTGATTGCTATCGCTTCGGTAAATTTCAAAAGGTTGGAGTTTGATTGTTTGTTAATCAGCTTGAAGGACTTCACTGTATCGACTTCATATCCTGTGTCAAGATGTTTTGCCATGACACTGCTGAATGTTTTTATCCCATTTAATCTTAAACTTTTCGGAATGTGTACTTTGAATCGGACGTAGGCTCTCCTTTCTGTCCTACCGATGTAACTACTTTGGCAGATACATGTAAATTTGTATAAAGAGTTGGTGGTAACATGAAAGGGATACTTATCGAACTCTGATTGTGTTAAAGAACATGTTGTTTTGGACAGGACAATCAGTTTAGGTGCAGGATAAGTTTTTTATCAATGCAGTTTTTAGTATAATATTGATTGACTCTTTGACATCACCATGTTTAAATTTAAGTTGAATAAAAATAGGTTTTTTGTTTGCTGTAATTTCTGTAGTAATGTTGATTTTCAAATATTTTAGGTTGTAAGCAGCTGATGAGAATCTAACGAAACAAAATGAATTCATATTATTCTGCACCAGTCTTTGTTCTTGCTCTCTTTAAGATAATAAAGGGAACTATCTGTGTGAAAATCAAATGTATTAGGTTCGATTCCTGCATGCGGGACTGTGAATAATCATCATCGAGGAGTCGAATACTAGAACGAAAACACCATCCAGTTCTTCCAGACTTTCAATAGTTGACTAACTTGGATAAGTTCATAGTTTACAATTGATTTGTCAAAATTATTCATGTAAAAAATAAACACAAATAATATAAGATACCAATAATTTAATAATTGAATTCATGAGTCAATTAAAGGTGGACCATAATAGAAAATCTTCCAGCTTTTCTATGAACTCATAAATTCAACTATTAAATTATTAGAATGTTCATACCCCCCCCCTCTGATTATATCAACTATTATTTTAACAATAATTTATTCATTTTTATGACTCATCTAAATTATGGACCAATCAGATTGCTAATATTATTAACCAATCAGTAATAAGTGATAAATTCCTTTTTTTTCAAAAAAGATTGTCACAAAAAAGCAACTTTCCACTTGGAAACTATTTAAATTTATCTTAATTCTCATAAGAAATATATAACTTGGATACTATTTAAAGCAACAACCAAAAAAATTATTTAATTAATCGGATTTATTTATTATTGAAATTTATGAAATTAAATGAAAATGATTAATACTACTACTAATACTACTATTACTAATACTACGACTACTACTAATACTATAAATATAAATAATGAAAATCAAACATTACCTTATCAACTTGATCCATTATCAAATAATCAATTTTTATTAAATTTAACTAAAATATTTCATGTATCCAGTATACCATTAGCTATATTTATATTGATAACCATATGTATTTTATGTTTAACATTCATTATATTAATAATTTTATATATACGTACATTCATGCATAAAAAATATATACCGAAAGTATATAAAAAAAGAGAACAACCAATCTACATAGATGATATACCAGGTTTAATCAAATTTAATAATAATAATAATAATGAATTACATAATTATGGTACAATAGAATATTCATTAAATTATAATTTAAATACAGAAGAATTAAAAATTTGTATTATCCAAGCAAATAATTTACCAGTAATGAATGAACAAGAACCATTAAATCCATATGCTACAATTTCATTAATGAAATATAAAAACAATAATTCACAATTACAAATGATGAAACCAATTCAATTTATAAATAAAAAATATACTACTAATATCATATATCATTCAAATAAACCATGTTGGAATCAATCATTTCTATATAAATTATCAATAAATCAATTAAAATATATCATTATTTTATTAGAAATCTTTCATTATAATAATCAATATATTGATCAATTTTTAGGTCATTTAATGATTCCATTAAATCAAATTAATCATAGTGAATATATTGGGAAATTTTATGAAAAAATTGATTGGTTATCAATGAATAATAGAATTTATCCATATAATATTGGTGAAATTTGTATTGGTTTAGGTTATTATACCGATACATCACGTATAGATTTATGTATCTTTGAAATTAAAAACTTAATCTTAAATAATAATAATAATAATAATAATAATAATAATAATAATAATGATAATAATAATAAATGGAAATCAATAAATCCCCTAGTAACTGAATTAGATCTTATTATATATATAAAATATAATAATCAATTATTACATAAATATAAAACACAATCACGTAAAGAATTAATTAATCCATATTTTAATAAAAGAATATCATTTCAAATAAAAGAGAAATATATTAAACATTTATATATTATTATACAATTAAGACAAATTCATAAATGGTCAATGAAAAAAATTATTGGTGAATTATGTCTTAGTTTAAATGCATTACAATTAAAAAGTATAAAACATTTTAATGAAATAATTAAATTACCTAATCAATTACATGTGAAATGGCATCCAATTTATCCTATCACAACAACAACAACAACAAATAATCAATCATTTCTATTCGATTGGTTATGTTTTGATCCATTTTCTTCATTTTTTAATTAAATAAGAATCAATTTATTTTTGTCAAAGTATAAATTAGATATTGAATTGATTTAAGATTCATTTCACAATGGGATATTTATCAATACGTTCTTTCTCTTTAATGGTTTTGTTGTTTTTTGTTTTTCCTAAAATTTGTACAAATTATCATTGAGTGTTATGTAAATGTGTAATGAAAAGAAGTTTTTCTCTCTTTTTTTTCTGTTCTTTTTTGTTTGTTTGTTTGTTTGTTTTAGGAAACCTTACTAATCAATAATGATATTGCATCAATGGTTTTTTTCTTTAATGTATTTATAAATCATAAAATGTAATGTTGATGATAAGCTTTTTCTTCTTTTTTCTTCTTTTTTTTCTTTCGTTTCTTTTTTGTTTTGATTCGTTAATGTTGGTGATGATGATCTAATATCAGTATATATGTTGACGAATTATATAATGTAGTTTTATCTATTGAGAATAGATTTAATTGGAACGGATCTATTGAAGGTGGACATTTTCAAGAATTATGAGCATATATAAAATATAATCTTACTTTGTAGATATCATTACTAAAGTTTGATCTGATAATTTCAAATAAATTGAACATTGAGTAGACTATTATAAATAAATAATATATTCGTAATATCCTAATGAGTGGAAAAATTAGACCTTATGACGTTACATGACTTAGTGTAAGCCACTTCTTCAGAGAATAAATAACCAAATTAAAATTACATTACTTGAGGTCATGAATCAGTTGAAGCTAGATCACCATGGAAAACATGAAAGCACTGAACGGCCGTTTCGTTCTATTGTGAGACGAATATTTCAAATTGTAAGCTAGAATTTACGAAGTTTTCAAAATAACTTTTAATGACAAACGATTTTGCAACTAATCCAGTTATCTTTCTTTTCACGACGATAAAAAAAGGATGAAAATAATATCATCGATTGAGCGATATCTCGAACACTTATTAATTTCATTATATTTACATAATCTCTGAATTATTACTTTTCAACATATAAATATACACCGATCTTAACTATGTTTATTCATACACATTGTATCCCTATTCTTCTGATTATGATTTCGGTTACGATTCGAACTTTACAAAATACCATATGCTAAACATTCGTTAATATTTACTTACACCTGCCAACCCTCGTGGAAGAACATAGGATGCCAACCAGCATTCTTCATCCAAACCCGTCCTGAACAATCCTTTCCACTTTTTTTCCGGTTCCTATACATTCTTTTGATGTTTGACTCCCTTTCCCGACACTGTCTGTTCAGCGGTCTTCCACCTTTCGTTTCCATTCAGGATTCCAAGTTGCAACTTGCTTAGTGATGCAGTTTGATGATTTCCTCAATGTGTATCTTATCCAATTCCAACGTCTTCTCCTAATTCCCTCTTTAATTAGAAGTTGGTTTGCTCTCTCCCACAGTAGACTGTTGCTCATGGCATCCGGTCAACGGACATTGAGTATGTTGCGTAGACAATTGTTTATAAATACTTCTACTTGTTTGATGATGATTGTGGTAGTTCTCCGAGTTTCTGATTCATACAACAGTAATGTGTTGACATTCGTATTGAAGATTGTGATATGGATGTTGGTTGACAGACAGTTATTTTGAGTTCCATATGTTTTTCAGTTGTAGGAATGCTACCTAAGCTTTACCGATCCCTTCCTTTGCATCCAAATCAGATCCCTCTTGTTTATTAATGATTCTGCCATAACATTTTCGTGATGAGCATGATAGTAATAAACCACTAAGTTGAAATTCGATAATCAATATTTTCTACTACAGTTTTTTTGATATACAGCACGGTTCTCATCTAGTATCATTTGTGAATCTGTTGTTCGTCATATTTGAGTAATTTTATCCTTAGGTTAACATACATCTCGTTGTACATTAATATGTTCCTTTTGTTAGTCAGTGTTTCAGAATCTTAACCTAGTGAATTACATTTCATAATGTACTTAATATTAAGTTAATACCGGACAGAATAATAGCCTTTGCTCTGTAAAGTAAACTGTAATGTATAAGTGAAGTTACAAAATTCTAGAATCTATAATTAAAAAATCTTTTCAAATGCTTTTCTTTCGGAATACCATAGATTTTTCACACAAAAATTTCTATTATACCACACGGTTTTTCTTAATGTTTAACCAAACTGAAGTAAAATCTGAGCTGGTAAAGTATCATGGTCATTAGATGATTAACAACCTTCGAATTTGTGTTTGACTTCAGTTCTCATCTGTTTTTCACTCACATACAATGTCCGGCAATCAAAATTAGCTGCAATAGTTTCGACATTTCACATTTTCATCGGATAAATTTTTTATGGACATTAATTCCAACAGAAATTGGTGACCTATAAATGACACTAAGTAGTGAGATAGATTTTCTCGAATAAGATTAGACATGGGTAAAAAAAACTGGCCGAAGTTAATAAACTTACGGCTTTTTCCATGTACATTAAAGTATGCGCAGTACGACAGTAGTCTCTAACGAAGTACCTAATATTTATTAGTTTCACTTTATGGATGAACCTTAGTTATACGATTACTGTAAACCAGGAAGCACTGGAGATCTATTTCATCTTTGTATGAGATGCCTCACTAACGGGTATTCACGACCCTCAGGGACCAAACTTAGATCATTCTGACCTTTTGGGGAGTTGGGATTCAACAGTTTACATTTCTACCTTCAGTCAAGTTAACATTGTTCAGGTTGACATAAAATCTGTCTGCATCCACCCATCTATGGTTTGAATCAATCTGATATATATCCGAATGATAAATGATCATAAAATACAAGCTAATAATAAAAAAATAAATTAATGTCGAAAAACAGAAAAAAAACAGCTTAAATTCGCTTGGTATTGTTTATTTGAATCTTTGCATTGACGTTTAGGATTGCAATTGATCAGTCTCTTATTGGTATATGTGCATCCTATGCGAATTGCCTTGATATGATCTTAAGTCACAAACAGTCTAAGCAAAGATGGATAATGGCTAGTAATGGAATCTAGGATGCACGTTTCGTCCTATTTCGGACTTAGTAGCTAGGTGGATATCATATTGGCATTTGAAGCGAATAGTACTGTGTCCGAATCCCAGAGTAAACATCAACTCTCAGATGTAGATATGTCCAACTGACAAGTTCCAAATAGAACTATCTATCTTTGCTTAAAATGACTGAATAACTTGTTTAACTATTACACTCAATGATATAGGTCTCATTCTAAAATAATATAATTCAATGAATAATCATTAAAAAAGTACTAATTTCATATATTCATCTTTCACGTATATGATTATAGAAATTACCGTGAAAATTCTTTAAAAAAAAGAAAGAAAAGAAAATTGGTCATAATAAGACAAATCAATTATGTTTTTTTTCTATTAGCAGCCAAAATCTGTACATGTTCACTGACAGACTGAACAAAACAAACAACTAAACAAGCAAACAATGAATTATTTAGTCATAAATAGTATAGATTTCACTATATCAAATTATTATTATTATTTTATAATGATAATACTTTGAATTTTATTATTTTGGACAAAACTACCAAAAAGAAAAAAGAGAGAAAACACAATTGTCTTTAGAGAAATCTGGTTTTCTTTTTTTTCTCTCTCTCTCCCTCTCACACACACCCTCTCTCACGCATACGCACCCCCCCTCTCTCTCTCTTTTAATAAGTTAATTATTTATTTACCAATGACAATCATAAATGAGCTTTATATGAAACATGGAAAACAAATACATGTAAACACATACATACACGCACATAACCAAACAAACAAACGCAAAGCATGTCCATACATGTAATTTTAGATAAATTATTGAATAATGTTGTCAAGTATCAATGTACAAGTATAAATTTGCTAAATCGATCATTGGTCATTTCTTGTTTGATTTTTTGTTACAAGTTACTTTTTTCTTTCTTTCTTTTATTTTGTTTTTCTTTTCTTTTTTTGTTTTTTCTTTCTTTTTTTTGCAAAACATTTTTATGATTCAATACTGTGATTAATTATATGAATTACATGAATAAATAGAAACATGAATCAATTCTATATTAAGTGAATGGATATAGAAGAATTTTTAATTATGAATAAATTTGATATTTTACAAAGATTTCATACTTAATTTAGTTAACAATAAAGTAATAATGAGAGAAGGGTTTTTTGTGAATATTATAATAATTTAATAGTTGAATACATGAATGGAGTTCAACTAAGTCTATTGTGAGATAGTAACTCACTGACGACAATGATGGACGGTGGCGCAATTTCATAGATTCGTTGAAATTAGACATTAACACCGCTGGATGCCGGCCAGTTCAGTGGTCTAGTGGTTAAGCGCTTGTATGCGAAACTGATAGGTTTTGCGTTCGAACCTTGCTTTTGGTGGAGTTTTGTTCTCTGAGCTGGATGGTCTATTTGAAGTTTGTGCTCATATTGTCGTTCAGAAGAACGATGAAAGCTCCACGACCAAACCATCCAGCTCAGAGAACAAAACTCCACCAAAATCATCCACCTGAGCTACAAATCTTCTCCACCATCTCGAACCTTGCTAGGCGGAATCTTAGGTGCGTACTACTGAGGAGTCTTATACTAGGACGAAACGGCCGTCCAATGATTTCAGGTTTTCTATGGGGGTCTAACTTCAACTGACTCATGATCTCAATTAGTAAATTAATAAGGTAATAATTATAGCTTTATACTATTGAATGAGTTTGGTTAAATAACCACTGATAACAAGAAAGCAATGAACCCCTTCTTTATTCCAGTATGGGACTTTTCAATAATGTCTATCTATGACCCCATTGGATATTGTACCCAAGACATCAAAGTGATAGATTTGCATTGTTGAGAAATCCCATATCAGGAAAAAACAAGTGTTTATTGTTTCCTGGTTTTCAAAATTTGTCTAGCTAAAATTCATTCTAAGTTGTAAACTATAAAATCTAATGATTTCCATAAACTCTTTATAACAATATAACAAATATAAATCG